AACATAAATAATTATGAAATCGTGATTCTCACTCATACATGTCATTACCACTAATTAGTTTACCTTATTACCATTCATACAGTGAATAATAATAAATAGTACTTAGGTATCTGCGAAAGAAATGGATTCAGACTACAACAATACATCCAATCAACATGGATTACACATATCACGATCAGGGCCGATCCTAGCGGGTGTGCAGCGCGTGCCCCGCACGCGGGCGGCCAAAACAAGGGGCGGCCGCAGGCCGCATATTGTCCTATCAAACAAAATTATCTGAAACTCATAAGTCGAATGAATATGCTGCATTTTGAATAAATAAAATGATAGTAAATAGTGTGTTGGTCCATTGTCAATTAATGTCTACTTTTTATACACATTCTTATCTTCCCAAATTTTAAATTTCTATTTGAAACAATAACCAAGGGGCATATTTTTCAGACGCCTAAGGATGTTTTGTTCCATCACTGTGCGGTAGCTTATTTATGCATTTCTACTACTTACTAAGAGACTATGAAAGAAAATCCCAAAAAATCTGGAGAACATCCACTGGGTTAAACTACAGACACCATTTAAAATACTTTTCACTTGCTCTTCTTATTGTTCTTATTTTCAGATTCCAGATCATTTTATATCAATTACAATAAACTGTAATATAGTAATGTGATGAATTTGAATCCCAACAAAAATTTCGCCTGCGGCGCATTTTTTGCCATAGGAAAATTTTGTCTGAGTTTCTTGGCCGCTCCCGGTATGCACTGAAATGGAGTTATTACATGAAAGCATTTGACCTTGAACTCAGAAAAAATTCGCCTGCGGCGCATGCAGATTTTGTCTGCATATTTTTTCTGTGTTTTACTTCTTATCCTTGTACAAGTAGTTGAAGTTATGAAGTCATCAGGTATTATAGTTAAAAAATATGAAAAATTCTCTAGAGGGGCGGCACATTAGGTTTATGCACGCGGGCGGCCGACACTCTAGGATCGGCCCTGATCACGATCTCCAAGTGTGGCGTTTTCATAATACGATTTTTCTTCAGTTAGAATATACAGGGTGTCCGGGAAAATGTTGGATATCTGATCTTTCGGATTCAGATAGAACCTGATTTTTTTCCTACTGGCCCTCTATACAGAGACATGGGCCGCTATAGGATGCCGCTGGAATTCGGTTCTGCTTGAATAACTTCTTCAATGGTAGTAATCAATATGAGGGACACTAGTGAGAACCACTTGAAATCCTCTCCCTGAAACAATTTTTGAACTCTCGGAGCGCACGAAAAGGAATCCCTATAATGAAAAGGAATATTCTCAGGCTAATTACGGGACACCCTGTATATATATATATATTTAAATAGGTTAGGTTCTATGTGAGTGGGGCGAATACTTCCCCTCCACTGCGACCCCAGATGGGTCTATTGTTATTTATATAAGTGGAAGGGTAGTCGTTGCTGACTAGTTAGGTATCGACTACTGAATAGTGAGGTTTTGCAGCAAGCAAACGAGAACTCTTTGAAGATTATCCAAGCTCTCGGAATTTAATTGATTCTATCATCAGGGAATACTACAATAATTATTGTCAGTAATAAATATCAAAGGCAAAAAATATTTGTACTTACATCTACGTGAGGATCATTACTATGATGTTAACAATAATAATTATAAGAATTGAAATGACCCAGCGAGCACAAAAACATCTCATAGATGTTAAAAGTACGAGATTTCGAGATATTGAACCTCCACTGCGATGTTCTGTTCACACATGAATAGAACTATTATAGAACAGCCAATGTCCGCCGCAGGCGGCAATTATCGAGATGTCCTTGATATGTCACAAAACTACCTTCTCCCTAGTTCTTTTCAAAGCCTTTTTATGGACACAACATAACATTTTCAACGCGTCTTCCGCACATTAAATCGCTGTAAAAAATCATTTTCGAGGTACTTTTTTGAAGCTTTTTGTCAAAATGAACTTTTGCATTAGGATTCCATTTCCCTTGAATGAAAAAATGCATTAAAAATAGATTGAACATAAAAATATATTCTTGATATGAAATTACCTTCTTAATCGGTTTCTGAGTAGTGCTTACTACACACAGACATATAATTGGAAATAGAGGTTTCTCCATTTTTGAAATGTTCTCCACAATGCATAATTTTGCAACTGCGGAGAAGCTATGTGTATTGATCAATTCGTACTTTTATATATTGATTACACTGAGGCACCGAACAACACATCTTGCATCTGAGGGTCATTATTACAAACTAAATAAGTCTTCTAACACAATAAACTTCACCAAATTCTTTTCTGTTCGTTAGCAGCGTGATGTAAGCGTGACACGCTGCAAACGCGAATGTCAATTGCGAACAAGAAGAACAAAATCGAAAACAAATCAGAATTCATCGTATTGTGACGTAAGCATGAGAAGTTGTGGTGGGGCAAACAAAGAAAGGACACAAAAGAACAAAAACAATACTTTCAATATCCTTCTAAGGTCTCTTTGGGAAGTGCATATTACGCCTCGAAAAAACATCCTCATGCCTACATTTCTAAAACATCCCAAACCATCCCAGGGTTAGTAGGCAAACAAAGAAATGCCACAGAAGAACAAGAACAATACTTCAATATCCTTCAAAGACCTCTTTGGTCAGTGCATATTAGCATATTACGTCTCGAAATAACATCTCCATGCCAACATTTTCAAAACATCCCAAAAGAGATGTTTGTGCTCGCTGGGGATGATGTATCACATTTCACGCAGTGACATTTTGGGGCAAATCATCTGATTTGTCCCACTACAAATATAATGAAATGATACGCATATTATTATTTTATAGAAACGAGGAGAGAAAATCCCACAAAATCAAGTAAAATGAATTTCACTGATTACATTATTACTCTATCCAAATGCAGGGTAAGCGGGGTTTACCAGGTAGGTTCCTGAATAGAACGATTATAAGGGCAAACTCTAAACTGCTAGAGTGAGATTATGAACGCTTTGTAGTACGCAATCCTTACTCAGAATAAGTTTATGAACGAACCCCTGGTGGACATGTTTGTTTACAAATTACTTCATTCTTATACTGTCCTTCATCATGAGATATCGTTTTGTCGGAAATTGAAAGTAAGAGTTGAACAATTCATAATTCATGAATATCATTTGAATGAAAGTTTTCGCCGGTCAACACATTGTCATGAATTAATTAGAATAATAGGATAATAATCATAATATGAAAGAGGAAATCGATATAATAAGAAATGTAAATAGCTGTCAGTATATTCGTGCTCACATTTAAATGATTAGTGGAGTGCAAACATCATGAAGATTTCTTGATTTCACTTCTGTCGTATTATACTATACAGTGTGTCCAATTATCAATGATACACAATATAATTTCAGATTCCTCGAGTGAAAATATTGCGACTAGACCACGTTTGTATTAATGTAAAAAACTCCACAAACGATGAAATTTCAACAAAATTCCTCTTGTACAAGGTACAATATTAAAACTGGTGGGTTCGAAATATAGGGGTCAGCTTTTGTTCTCTTGTTTGCATTCCTTGTATTTGGGTGAGTAAAAAATGTGTACCGAGCTTTCTGGGGGTGATAGTACATTGAAAACTATAAGTATAGTTCGATGAATGAACTGATGTCCAAAAAATGTATGTTGATATATAACATTTTTCTGATACACTTCTACATTTCTGATATTGTTATTGAGAGTGTTTTTAGAGGGTAGGTCATAATATTTTGAAGTCAAAATTTTTTCTCGTAATTTTTTTGGCGAGATGATAGAAGTTTTTGATAGAGCTAAAAAAAATTAAAAATTGTTGATCAATAAGATATTCGAATATTCAAATAAAATCTAACCATTTTTTGTTATGTTTAGGACGAAATAATGGAATATTTTGTTCATAAAATCAACTCTTCTAAGAACATGATCAATAATATTCTTATCAAAGTTTATCCAGCGTATAGACCAATAATTTCATCAAATTCATGCACTTCAGATTTAATCACCGCGTCGCTCTAGGGCTTCCATAGTGTTCGTTACAGAAACAAACAAGAAAATTAGTGTAAAAATCTAGAAAATAATTAGGTACTAAGCTAAATCGAACGGAAAATAATTCATGAGATCACAGTGGCGTACACAGAGGGTTTTTCAAATGTTATCTTTTTAATTTCAAGAAGCAATTAGATTTTGATATTCCAGATTAATCGTTGATTATTTATGTATTAATGTTTTGAAGTTATCAACAACATGAATGTTAAATTAGCTGATCAAATGAATAACAAGCAAATTTCCACATTTTTTTTTAATAAATTCATCACGTATACGTGTTATTCTTAACTCAGTTCCTAACTGATATTTCGTATAACTTTTTTCTAATCACAAATATTTTTGGGAATTTCACAGTAATATTTTCATAATGCCTAAACACATGTACGTACCTTGTAATGGTTTTGCATTTTTTTCTTATCTCTAAATTTATTTAAGTCCTTTTATCTTCCATTCGACTTCGCGGTTGCGTAAATACTGGACAACCACTAAATTGACAATTTTTCAAAATTCAATCATACAATTAGACTGACATATATTTGATCACTTCAAAATAATGATGAAGAATTCCGAACACAGGTGTCATTCCTGAATTTCACGTCGATAATTTTCTGGTTCTAATATAATGTAATATTTTCTCAATAGTGAGTCGTCCTTTTTTGTGTTACAGAAAAGAATAGTGTATTATACACGAAAAAAATATTAGATTTTAGCTCACGTTATCCACAACCTGGAGCTAAAATCCACTACTCCTGTCCCTTGCATAATGAATAACTATTGCAGTCATCTTCATGTAGTGTACTTGTTGATTTTCATTTTCGATCGTCACCACCCTGTATTTCGAAAACGAAGCAATTTCGGACTGTGGTACAGACCTTTCAGGGACACCCTGTATACCAAATGGTGAGGATCATAACATAGGTGACTATGAATCCCTTCATCTATCAACTGAAATATGTCAGATAGTTTTTGTCAAGATTTTTTTTCCTCCCAATTGAAATACATGAAACCAAATCTACCACCAAAATATTCACATTCCAATCAGTGAATCGTCCTTTCCCCGATGGCCGATGGCAAGAAACTCCACCAATACCTCGCAGCCGTTTGCATCTGCATCGGCGCCTTAGGCACAGGAACAGTCATAGGCTGGACGTCCAATATCACAGATTACCTCAAAGATGGCAAACTGAACGACCTGAGCATGGGAGATTCCGAACTGGCGTGGGCAGGAGCAAGCATGCCCTTCGGAGCGATGATCATGTGCTTCCCCATAGGATGGATGGCCGACTGGCTGGGAAGGAAGCCTACCGTCCTGCTCACCATTATCCCTTTCACCATCGGCTGGCTCAACATACTAATGGCCAAACACGTGGCCATGGTCTACGTGGGGAGAATCCTGACAGGCATAGCTGGGGGCTCTTTCTGCGTTACAGCCCCTCTTTACACCAGCGAGATAGCTCAAACGGAGATAAGGGGCACTCTCGGCACCTTCCTGCAACTCTTCATCACCATCGGCATTCTGTACAGCAACGTGCTAGGATACGCTCTGCCAGTGTTCATCTTCAACATAGCTTGCCTCATAGTGCCTTTGGTGTTCGGCATCCTGTTCTTTTTCCAACCCGAATCGCCGGTTTGGGATTTGAAGAAAGGCTATGATGAGAAAGCGCAAAAGTCTTTCAAGCGTTTCAGAGGAGAGGAGTACGATTTCACTGGAGAAGTTCAAGTTATACGCAAGCAGATCGAGGAGGAGAAAAACATGAAGAACTTTTGGACTGCGATGAAATCTCCTGCTGCCAAGAAAGCTACTCTGATTTGCTTCATGTTGATGTTCTACCAGCAACTATGCGGAATAAACGCGGTTATGTTCTACATGAAGGAGATATTCATTTCGTCGGGATCTTCCTTGCCTAGTCATTGGTCCGTTATCATTGTCGGTGTCGTTCAAGTTATCGCGACTCTGTTTGCTGCCTGGGCAGTGGAAAAATTCGGCAGGAAGATTTTGCTTCTGATTTCCGGTGGTGTGATGGCGCTGTCTACTTTCTTATTGGGGCTTTTCTTCAGCCTGAAGAACCATGAGGTACTCGATGAGGACGGCATAAAAACCATCGGATTCCTTCCAGTTTTGTCGCTGATCATATTCATCTTGGCGTTTTCCATTGGATACGGGCCTATACCATGGCTGTCTTCATCAGAGCTCTTTTCTCCGGATATCAAAGCCAAATGCAGCTCAGCAGCGGGCACATTCAACTGGTTTCTGGCATTGCTGGTAACGAAATTTTATTTGGATGTAGCTGATTCCATGGGAAACGATATCACATTTTATATATTCACAGCGATATCAGTGAGTGGCGTGTTCTTTGTGATGATTTTCATGCCGGAAACGAAAGGAAAGTCATTTGAAGATATTCAACAAGAACTTGGAGGAGGTTGAATTCATTGCAATTCATTTATCAGATAAATTTGATGTAAAATAAATATAATTATTGTGAAAATGCGGTATTTATATGATTATTTCATTCACACATGGCTGCACCAATGAATTTCCATGACTGAAGTCACATGATATATGTGATATCAGCTAGTAATCTGTTCGATTGTATAAGTTTAATATTTTGACATGAATCTGTCACTGAAAATGTCTCATTGTGGGTCAACTCCTACTATGGCAATCAGTGATTATAGGCAAATACAAAAAAATACCAAAAAGAGTGAAATCTGTCTGGGAACAATATATATGTCTTCTTTCCAGCTGAAAAACTGAATTTTGTGTGACTACCCCAACACTCGTGATCCCAGAAATTCAACTTGAATAACATGTTGAAATAAATATACTTATACATAAACTGGTGTATTGTATGCTTATATTATGAGATATTTCGTCCCCTTAATCCGGAAATTGAATGTAAAGAATTGACCGTATTTTCCATAGTAAGACATTTCGTTTCGTAAGTGTGGCTACAAAGTTGTCAAATCTCAAATATGATTCAATTCAGCGCCACTGTCAAAATTATGGTTTTTCCAGATGAAAAATTGTTGAATTGTTGATTATTGTAAATGAACGTGCAAGAACAATTTCTTACACGGAAAAAAGGAATTGTTGAATCAATCAAAATGTAATCGAATGAAGCAAATAAAAGTGTCATATATGCACGACAAAATATAATCTTGAAATGAGTAAATCAATATCTTATTTCAGAGCGAATTTGAAGTTTGAATTAAGTAAATATGTCTTGCATGAACTCTGGATCTGATTCAATCAAGCACATTCATGAATTGTTTATGAAGAGATATTGAATTACCTCAAACAATCATTTTGTTTGCTTCAAAATAACAAGATATTGATTCAATCAAATATTTAGTTGATTCAATGAAATATTTGGTTGATAAGTAGAAATATTTGGTTGACTCAATGAATTATTTGGTTGATTCAATGAAATATTTTGTTGATTCAATGAAATATTTCGTTGATACAAGAGAAACTGTATTTCCATTCGACAAATTGTTTTGTTGAACCAAGTTCAGTATTAATGTGAAAATTTTCTGAAATTTCACATCAATAGAATGAACTAAACTAGGAAACTAGTCGACTTTCAGCATAGATTTTCGGTCTTTACTTCTCTTCAGCTGATTTAAACCATTTCGGATTGCTAATCATCCTGAGTTCGATTTATCCAGCTGATATTTCATACACGAAGAATCAGGCTCACGTATAATAATATAATGAATTCGAGGCGAGCAGAGACGAGGCGAAATGATCATCATCTAGAGAAAATTCAACTTGATGTAGAATGAACAAAATATTTCATTGATATTACATATTTCGTTGCTTTATTCGAGCAAATGATCCGTTCGAAACGAGTTCATTGCTACATCGGAATAAGAAAACTTGTATGTTGTTTCAAAGATATATTCTCATCCAAATGATAATTATTTGATCAAATTGACAAAATGATTATAGTTGAATCAACATCGACATTTTTTTGGATCGACATAATTTGTTTTTGAGAAAGCCATATATTTTGTTGATGGAATATTGATACTGTTGATTCAATTAGACTGCATTCTTTATTCGAACAAGCTGCTTCCATGAACTTATCATGTATCTGGTTGATTCAACAAAAAATTGATCAGTCCAACAAAAATAATTAAAGCATAAATAATCCTTTTTTTCCGTGTAGAGTCTTCGTTATTCAGACTAATAATTTCGCCAGCAATATCTGCCAACAAATAGTACAACATGTCTAACTGTTTTCTATTGAAATATGCCCAATTGACAGTTTTTGATGTGAGAAAGATATAATAATTTTGGCAGTGGCGCCGATTTTATTCACGTTTGACATCTGACATATCTCAATCTCACAATCAGGTCATGGAGGGCTGAAATTTTCAATCTCACCAGTTGGCGCTACTAAAACATGACATTGCGACATTGTTACCGATTTCCCACGATGATGTGTTTCACAACGTTTTTTCAACGTATATAGTCCAATAAATGAAGGGAAAAAGTTAACATTAATTACGCACTATTTTCATCTTCCGGTTGGAAGTAGCTTTTGGTAGGTACCTCATTAAACATGAGACAAAGTTTGACTGGCAAACGCGTGCGATGGCGGAGAAAATGGCCCCAAAAGACCAGAAAAATAGGTTTTCAGCCAATATCTCCTAAAATATGGCAGTTAGAGATTTTCGGTTCAGATAAAAATTGAAGTTCAGTTAATTTTCTACAAAAATGGTAATCATCATTTTTCTCGAAAATTTGCCCGGTTTCGAGAAAATGGCACGAAGCGCACCTCGAATAATGAGCTTCTTTGTATGCCGGAGAGCACAGTCCGTGTATTTACACATCGGCGGGGGGACAAATTATTCAATAACTTTGTTAAAAATGCATATTTTCTCATGATTCAAAGTTCATGTGAAAGAAGAATTCTGCTGCTATCATACCCTGTGAATTGAGTCACGCTTGACTCTTTTGGCCATATCGGAACATGACCTCGCCAGGAATTTGTTCCTATTTTTTTTGTATTGCACTGATTTACTCAAAATTTTCTTGATTATGGGTCATAAGTCATAAGGTCCTTTGTCATCTCTGAAATTTGTACACCCTAATTTTTTTTAATTTTCATTTAATCTTTGTTTATTGAATCACAATATTTTGCTGTTTTTGGAGCGCGGGGAAATTTTGTGAACAACCTTCAATTAAAAATTTATACATGATCCGATTGGTTTCTATGATACATCATTTGAAAGCTAAGAAGGTCTACTTTTCGATTGTGCAATTACTTTTTTAGACGAAGTCGTCCATTTTTCAATAAAATCAGGAAAAGCGGGGTCAAGGAAAAAACGCACTTTTTTTTCGGTGGTTTTTTTCTCCGTGCTCTTTATTTCTAACATTTTAACACCTTAACTAGTGTAACGGGGGAATTCCCACCTTTCCATCGATGTATATAAGTCATACCTTTGATATCCCGGGAAAAAAACAGTATATCTAAATGTACACGCTATAATTTATTACTCTCGTTCCTCCGTCGTTCGCCGCGTGTGTGCTCTACGTGGCGCTCGGGTCGTCTGCTACAAACCATGCAGCCACGCAGGGTATGATAGCAGCAGATCTCCTCTTTCACATGAACTTTGAATCATGAGAATATATGCATTTTTAACAAAGTTATTGAATAATTTGTCCCCCCGCCGATGTGTAAATACACGGACTGTGCTCTCCGGCATACAACAGAAGCTCATTATTCGAGGTGCGCTTCGTGCCGTTTTTCTCGAAACCGGGCAAATTTTTCAGAAAATTGATAAGAACCGTTTTTGTAGAAAATTAACTGAACTTCAATTTTTATCTGAACCGAAAATCTCTAACTGCCTTATTTTAGGAGATATTGGCTAAAAACCTATTTTCCTGGTCTTTTGGGGCCATTTTCTCCGCCATCGCACGCGTTTTCCAGTCAAACTTTGTCTCATGTTTAATGAGGTACCAAAAGCTACTTCCAACCGGAAGATGATAATAGTGCGTAATTAACGTTAACTTTGCCTTTTTTTCCTCCTTCATTTATTGGACTAATAATAATTGCCCATTGGGTTAGATACCACGAACGATTTGAAATCAATTTAATGAAATATCTTCTACGCGGTTACCACATACCGCATGCAGGTAGGTATAGTTGTTATTCCATTGAATGTTTGAGTTATGGAACCTTCTTGCATTCGCATTACCATTTGGTCGCTTCTGGGCTGTTTTTATTTGCGAAGATCGTGAATATGCGGAACAGTCTTTTAATCTTTAGCAATCGAGTTAAATTAGCAATTCCTAACTCATAGGTGTGAACTTATAGCAACTGTTATTAAGTTGAAATGAATTTATCTCTGAAAGATAACTGTAGCGTCACAACAGTTAAAAGACATGCATATCTGTAATGTCATAAAATGTATTCGAACTGGATGATAAATATATAGGGTGTGCCAATAAATTCCAGGGCATATATTTTGGAAACAAAGTGGTTTAGTAAGACTTCGAACTATGTAAAGGCGAGTAGTTATAATAATAATAATTGAAATGTCGAAATATTCTCGAAAACAACCTATATATTCCAATATATTATCTGAATTCTCATTCAATCAGGTTCACTAATGGTTTTTGATTTTGGAAATCTGTTGGGACGTTGCATCAGTTAAAGGTGCCAGTTTTTCATAAAATTCAGATATCTTTGAAAAAAATCGACTACCAAAATTTTCATCTTCTCCAAAAGTATGCGCGCGGAATATAAAAATGAGGCGTGGCAATAATCCGAGCAGTTGTTTTAAACAACTACCTATATATGTTGATTTGACTCAAAAATTTTCGAAAAATTGGCAAAGGCAGAAAAAATATGAGAGGTGACAATGTGCTCAATTAGGCGAATAAAAACATATTCTGAAATTGAAAGGTGAAAGGTTTACAGAATGACATCAATATTTTTTCTATCGGTGCGACTAATATGTAAACCTATAATAAAATTTATAAGGCCGTATGTTTAGGAGGGGCAATCGCTCCCCGCCCCTGAACTTTTTACGGTATATTTTTAAAGATAATTGTTATTTATGTATCGAGGGCGTAAAATAGGCTTTCATTTACCTTATTGTAGGACCTATATTAACACGCCAAGGTCCATTAAAGCAAGTTACGCCCGAAATACATACATCATTTTATACACGACCGGTATATTTGATTTTCTAATGTCATCACAGATCATATCACTTTGCATCTCAGAAGTATCAGAAAACCAGTATTATTAGATACTGAACCATCACAACTGAAACATAGATGTCTTGAGTTATACAGGAATGCTTATTACGAAATACCGATACTCCGGGCGGTTAAATAGTCCGCGGGCAGTAAAGTGCCACTTTGCGTCCGTAAACCCGGGTGATGAAGTGCTACTTTACGCCCGGTCGTGCATAAAACATGTTATAAAATTAAATAAGTGAGTAGTAGTAGTAGTTTTACATTTCATGATTAAT